TCTACTTTTACAATTGCCATGCTTTCTGTGGGGTCATCCTAAGCATAGTTCATTCCTAGCTGGCGCCATTTCTCGGTTTTTAAAATCACCTTCACAAGTTCCTATGTAATGTTTCCCTTTGATAGAAACAGCTTTCTTTTCACCAGGTTTCAGTTGGTCTAATGATCTGGTTAACCTGCAGCATCGGACTCCTCACCATCTCAGGCCGAGTGAGCGTCGCCTGTTACCTGGATCACTGCAGGGGCCTCCTGACTGACCTCCCTGCCTCCCCCTTACCCGCTTGGGGCTCCTTCTTCAAACAGCAGCCAGGGCTGTGCTTAAACACGGACATCAAAACATGCTGGTCCTCTGCCCGGCGCCTGGCATTGCTCTCTGTCTGACTCAGAGCGAAAGTCAGTGTCTGTCCGATGGCCCCGGAGGCCCGCGGTGGCTGGGTCCCACATGTGACACTATTGCTCTGCACCGTGGTCACTGTTCTGGCCACGCTGCCTTCTCACTGTTCTTTGAACACACCATGCGTTGTCCACTCCCTCTGCCTTGACTGCTGTTTCCTATGTAAAGGCACCATTGCTTCTCTCATTTCCTTAGTGTTTGTACTTGAACATCACCTTCTCACGGAGACCTCCCCTGCCCACCTTATTTACAAGCGCATTCTGTCCCCCACTCCAGCTCTCCTGGTACTCTTTACTGTGCCCTGTGATTTATTTTTTCCATAAAGCTTATCACTTTCTAATGTACGACAGCTTTCTGAAACATACTGTGTGCTGTGCTGTCTGCCCCGGTAGGATATAAGCTTCAGGGGGGCAGAGAGCTTGGCTCACTGCTGTACTCCAAGCACAAAACAGTGCCTGTTACATAGTGAGTACTAGGAAATACTTGTTGAATGAATGAATGAATGCATCCCCAGTGTCTAGAGCAGGGGTGGTCAAACTTTTTGACTCGAGGGCCACAATGGGTTCTTAAACTGGACCAGAGGGCGGGAACAAAAGCATGGATGGAGTGTTTGTGTGAACTAATATAAATTCAAAGTAAACATCATTACATAAAAGGGTACGGTCTTTTTTTTTTTTTAGTTTTATTCATTTCAAACAGGCCGGATCCGGCCCACGGCTGGTCTAGAGCTATTGACACACAGTAGGCTCTTATGCCTTTTGAATGTCTCTCCCTGTGATAGGACCGTGCAGTGTATCACAGGGACTCGGAAGCCTGCAGGCTCTGCCTCAGCTGGCGTGGAGCCTGGGCTCTGCCACGTCCTAGTGGCATGACCTGGGCAATTCTCTTAACCTCTCTGAGCCTCTCTGTTTTGTCATCTGCAAACCGGGGATGAGAATAGCACCTCCCTTAGAAAGCGGTTGTGAGAATTAAATATGAGAATTCAGAAAATAAGTCTGGTAAATGATCACTACACTTGAGCTGTGATGCTGCTGATTATGCTGATGCTGATGCTTATTCTCTGACTCCTCTTCCCAGGGAAATCACTTCCACATCCATTCTTACCCTCAGGGAGGCAAAAACACACAACATCTTAAGTGAAAACAGTGTGTAAACCATACACCACTCTACAGATGGCGAATCTTCTAAATGCCCCGGAGGACCTGGTGACCACTATGGGCTCTGAGTCAATTGGGGAACGGTCTTAAGTCTGAAAAATACGCTGACTCCGATCACCAGCGAGGCTCCCTTCTGCGGCAGGGCCCCTTCCCCTGGCACCGCAGGGGTGGGTGGAGGGCTGTGGCTGTATTTCCAAGTCCTCCTCCTTCTCTCCCCTTCCTCCCCAGGCTGCCAGAACCTTTGGCAGAAGTGAGATCTGTAGTCAGCCCGCCGGGTGGTTCCTGTACATGGGCTGTTCCTATTGTTCAAAGCATGAAATTGTCTGCAAGCGGATTGTTTACAGAGCTTTTCTCTTCCCAGAGCCGCTTGCATGTGGCAACTCAGGCCCTATTTGCCCTAATACTCACTTTCTCTCATCCTTCCCACCAAGAGCCTTTGTTTGTGATTACATCCGGCTCTGCTGGGCACATACCTCACCTGGCACAATCCTCTCCAATCCCTAGAAGGAAGAGCCCTCACCTACGCGGTGGGGAGGAAGTAAGATTTCGGCTCCAAGCCGGCAACCTCTCTCTGAGGTCATGTCATCCGGACACAGAGAAATAAACATGCTGTTTCTTCTTTTAAATGGCATTGGACGAGAAGTCCGTCTTTCAGACAGAACCATGGAAACGGGCAGTCAGGTATGATTGCCTGTGAGTGTTCCTCACAGGAAAAATAGCTCCTAATTGCACGAAAGAGAAAGGAGCCAGCTGCTGCTTTCATGATTATTTAAGCACCCATCCACCATCAAAACACGCCTCATTGTTTCATTGCCACTGAAATGTGATTGCCACTACACTTTCTACTGGCCTCTCCTCTATGCAAATTGGGGAGAAGAAAGAAACTCATGAGGCACCCATTTGGTTTCTAAATGTATTGTTTGCATATAGACATCAGCAGCCTGAAAAGATTCTAGCCCGGAATGTCAAACTGACAACACTGTCTGTTCTTCTATTGTTCTCTCCGAAAATATAATTTTTAATGTATCCTTAAAGGCAGGCCTGACTGTTTTATCAGTGATTTAGTAAGAGACCAGAGGCCTGGTGTCTCAACTGTGGGCCTTGGGCAGCAATGAAAATCATCTTGGGGAGAGTCCACTTTCTAGAATATTAAAAGAATTCATCAACTTGAAAAAATTTTTGTTCCCACCTTTTCTGCTCACAGTTGGTGTTTGTGCTGGGGGCTGACCATTAGATAATGATTTGTACAGCATTTTATAGAGTTCAAACGTTTCTGCCTCTGGTACATCATATGACATTCCCAGGGACCCTGTGAGGGAGGTAAGGGCAGTTTTCTCTTTTCTTTTTCTTAATATGTTTTTTTATTATTATTATTGATTTCACAGAGAAAGGGAAGGGAGAGGGAGAGATAGAAACATCAATGATGAGAATCATTGATCAGCTGCCTCCTGCACACCCCCCACTAGGGATGGAGCCCACAACCCAGGCGTGTGCCCTTGACCAGAATTGAACCCGGGACCCTTCAGTCCGCAGACTGGAGCGCTATTCACTAAGCCAAACCAGGTAGGGCAAGGGCAGTTTTCATGTATGGGGCTGTTTCCAGCTCTAATAGTTGTGACCTTTAGAGGATTGAGGACTACTTGGTTTTAAAAGAGTTTCAACAGGAAGGCACCTGCTCTTCTGGTTCAATAGGTTTTAGTTCTGGGCCCAGGGAGGAAAAAACAATATTAATAATAGCCAACACTTACCACCTGTGTGCCTTGTGGCAGCACAGTGCCGAGTGCTTTGTGTGCACTATCTCATTTTTGCTTCCAAATGTACCCCTCTGAGGTATGTTCTAGTATGATTTCCAGTTTACAGAGAAGGGAACTGAGCTCAGAGAGGCTGAGTAATTTCTTTGAGGTCACACAGCTAATTAATGGTAGAGGATGGGTCTGGGCTCAACAGCCTGATTTTGAGGTCCATGCTTTTTACCTTCAAGGTGTACTGCTTCCTGCTATGCATCTACCTACCATGTGCCCATCCAACAGATGACAGCACACCACAATAAAATAGTAATCACATCGGGTATCTCTCTAGGACCAGGAGCTATAAATACACTATCATATTCAGTCTTTACGACAGCCCTGCAAGGGTGGTATCTAGTATCCCCTTCTACCTACCAGGAGAATGACATTCAGCAAGGCCAACTGCTTTCACATTACAGAGTCAGTAAATGATGGAGTTGGTATTTACACCTACACCTTTTCTACATGTTTTTTGTTTTGTTTTGTTACCTCACTCTTCCTGCCTAAGGCATCCAATGCTGTATGGTACATTGGACCAGAAATATATACTAGTAGGTACGCACACAACATGAGAAAATTCCTATGCACAAGAAGCAAGAGGCTGTCGGTATAGTTGGAGTGGTAGGAATTTGATTTCATTTCCCAGCCTGCCTTGCAGCTAGGGTGGCACTGTCCAGGTCAATGAGATGTTAAGGGGAGAGTCTACAGTGGACGTGGGTGGGTTCTTTCAAAGCTTCTGCTCTCCTAATAAAAGGGAAACTTTCTGCTGTCAAGGGCCTTCTTCCATTCTTCCTTCCTTGAACACAGATGGCAATGTTGGCTCTGCAGCAGCAATCTTGTAACCACGAGGCACAAGCCAAATGAATCTCAGAGATGGCTGCCCTCATCACAGAGCTGCTGAGCCAATACCAATAACCACCTACCTCTGTACTTCCGTAAGCTAGTCTTAATTGGGTATTCTGTTATCTGCAAATACAACCTTAACTGCTACAGAAAGAAGACTAGTTTGAGCAGCCTCACTTCCCTTCTACCTGACAGTTACGTTTGATTTCTTTGTCTATGCCAACTGATTTTCCCCTGCCTTCATAAAGAGAGTAGCCTGAATCCAATTTCAAATATCTTGGTGGTATGGACATGTCACTCCAAGCACCTGCTATGCCCACAGCCCCTTCCAAGGAAAGGCACTAATGGTTCTTTACAAATGAGTCCCAGGCTTCGTGCCAGGTGACTGTGATTTTCAAACCAAAGCTACTCACCGAAACACCCATCCATGAGTCAGTGAGTAGCCTATGAGGTGGTTAGGCATGCGTACTCTCCCCAGCAATGGCACTGTGTAGATGTCCACTGGCTCGCCTAGGAGACAGGAGTTGAGTGATACAAGAATGCAGAAGCCACAAGGCAAGACAAGTCATGAATAAGCAGTTGATATGCATCAATAAAAGTCAGGAATAAGCAGAAACCGAGAGATAGAGAAGAGGGAACTCGAAGAGTGTAACGACAGGAGAATCATAACTCTAGGGCAGGGAGCCACCAGGGCTGCTACTAAGGGAACAATAGATGGCCAGGCCCCTCCCCCGCTGGCCTTCTTGAGTTCTGTGGAGCCACAGGAGGTGCTGTGATCCTGACTGATGCCTGGCCGTTCTCTGTGATTAGTGAAGCCATGTCACCTAGCTTATTCCCCAGAGGCGCCCACTATTGCCCCTCGGGTCACATTGGGTCTTGGTTGCCTGAAAGAGCTTAACCAACATGTTGGCCACTCAGGGCCACCATGCCCGTCTTTAGTCTCCCTGAGTGTTGCACACACACCTGTGGAGCCCAGAGGGTATAGGCAGGGCGCCTGTGGGCCATATTTGGCCCCAATACATGTCTCATTTAACTTACATGGTATCCTAAGAAATGTACATTTGGATGCCTTTCGAGGGGGTATATTCTTCCAATTTGTCATGGTCCCTACCCCTTTTTATGCCTGACACCTGCCTTACTTTGAACATTCACATTACCTGCCTGGTACCTGTAGGCACTGGAATGGCAGCCTCGGGCAGGAATTTAAAAAGGTGGTCAGGTCAGGTAACCTGCCCGGGAGTTCCCTTAACAAAAGTCCCCTGGCAGCTGCAATCCCATGCCCTCAGGGCAGGGCACAAACCTGGGGAGGGGGGGGGGGGGCAGGGAGAGAAGGAAGGAGGGAGGGAGGAAGAGGAAGAGGAAGAGACAGAGACATAGAGAGAACTGTTGCCACCCCACAGACCACAGAGCTGGTATCTGTCGCTTCATCATCTACTTGCTTCTCCGCCGCAGTGTCCGCTGCTCCCAACTGCCATCGCCACTTCTAATCACACCCAGCTTTCCACCGCTTTCCACCGCAGCCTTTTGCTCCCTGCCTCCTGTTGCTTTTATTGTGCCGGTCCTACCACATGTACGTGTGGTTGACCTCTGTGGTCACAGCCAATTGGCGGGTGCTTTTCCTTCCGCCCAGCTAACCATGAATCCAGGCACGATGTGGTCCCTGGGACAGTGGCTGCGGCAGCAGCCTTTGCGGGCTGGGCCCTCAGGGGCTGTGCTTTACTGGCAATCGTTCTGTTTTTGTTTTCTGAAGATTTTTGAGTCCGGAGGGATCCTGGAACCCTGAGGGATCTGGAAAATGCGGCTTGTCTCTGAAAATAACAGCCTGTGCAGAGAGTGGAAGGAGAGATTACCATGGACTGTTATCTGAGGTGGTAAACAAGTTTTCCTTACAGGGTGGGTTAAACAGACAAAGAAAGGATTACAAAGAACATCCAAAACCGCAGGGGAGGCAGCCAAGCTAAAGGGGGATGATGGTGCAGGGCATGATGCACACACACAGAAGTAGGTGTGTAGGTGCCCATGTGCATGCATGCACACTTGTGCACATGTGTGCACATGTGTGTGTAGAAGGATTAGCACTGGGGAGCTGTGAGAAATAAAGTTAGGTAGGAACAAACTATGCAAAGTCTTAAAAATTAGGTGAACAAATTCAGAATCATGTCAGTGGGCAGCTTAGAGCTATTAGAGGGGAGAGAGATTTGGGCCCAGGTACCCATCTAGGTGATGCACCAAAGGCACAATAGAAGTGGAGAGGAAAGCATCCTAGGATATCCTGAAGCATCATCCACAAGCCTGGATGTTTGGCTCAATTTGAAGGGCTGGATGGAGGAACCAGTCAATGTTGATTCCAAAGCTTCAAGCTCAGAGTCATCACAGCGGGAGCTGCGGAATGGAAAGGCCGGGAGAGCTGAAAGATCATGAGATCATGTGACATCTCATTCTTCAGAAAGAGACCTACCTTCCTCACATGCACGTGCCTGCCTGTGTGGTTGCCAGAACAGATCCACATCTGGGGTGCCATGGGGAACAAGGACAGGCCTCTCTCTTACCCACATCCCTGGGGTTCTTAGCCAACAAGACTACAGGACCAGAAGCTCCCACTAGGCATCAGATGGTTGCTGGTCTCTCAGTGAGCACTCTGGCCAGAATGAGACACATGCAAACCAGTTAGTTCAGGACCA